AAGATACTAACATATAAAGTAGCTATTGATAAGATAACACAGGGCAGCTAAGCAATATATATTAAATGATAATTAATAAAAAGTTGAACTCTGCAAAAACCTATATAAACATTAAAAAGGCATCAAATGAAGTATTTTATATTTTTTTCCATAGTGGGAATGTCATTCATAAAAATAGAGAAGTCAGAAGGAAGAGTTAGTTTGCTGGAAAAAAGCAATGGGTTTGATTTTAAAGATGTTTGACTTCAAAATACCAAAATGTCAACAGACAAGAGTAACAAGCAGATGAAGATGTTATCCTTGACATTTTCTTCAGTTTCACTCTTGAAATCAAAATAATCATAAAATCTGGTCAATTATATCTCATAAACAGTTCTTGAATCTGTCCACACCCTCTTTACTGCTGCAATGCTAATAACATAGGTTATCACCACCTCATACCCAGACCACTGCAAAAGCTTAACTCATTTCTGCACATCCATACCCTTCAATCCATTCTTCACATAGAAACTAACTCAGCTTTTAAAGACACAAGTCTGAGTGGATAATTCTCCAATTTAAAACTCAGTATCTTCTCAATTCTCTTAAGATAACGTCCAAAAGCACCAACATAGTTTAAAAGATCCTTTTCCTGCCTCATTTTGCATTCTTTTCCACCTGGTTTTTCATACTCCAGCCAGAAGGATATTCTTTCAGTTGTCTGAACCTGTTAAGCTTCATCACAACTTTCACAAAGGTTTTCCCTCTGCTTGAAATTCTCTCCCACATCTTCTCCTGCTAAACACTACTTATCTTTGAGGTCCCAGCATAAGTATCACTTAAGTGTAACTCCCCACACTGGATGAGTTTCCCTAATACACACTCTCAGTCTATCTTATATTTGTGTTTCATTGTGCAGCCAGTAATTGTAATAATGTATGGAACTATTTAATGTATTGCTCTCTTGCCAAGCTATAAGCTCCAACAACAATGGAGAGGCCTTGTCTTTTTTGCATGCTACTATAGCCTTTGTCCAGAAAAGTTCCAAGGATATAGTACTCAGTAACTATTTTAAGAGAAAGCATAACAGAAGGAGAGAGGAAGGGGAGAAATGAGGAAGTTAAGAGCTACAGCTACATATCTGACTCAGGGATTAAAATAAGCAGAGGACTAAGGTATCTATATCTATGGTTTTGATACATAAGGGCATTTAAAGGATATCTAGCCAGAAAGACCCACTAAGGAGTTATGCATGGGATTATTTTGCACAGATTTTAGTGCAAAGGAGATCATGGAAACTATGTATGTGGATAAGATTTCCACAAGATAGTATGCCATAAAAGAGAAAAAGAAAGACTAACAGTGCCAAATGCTAAACATAAATACCTGCTTATAGAATTTACTCAACTACCAGCATTGTGAGGACATGAAGAATGTCTATTTCAACTGTGTACTTTCAGCACCTTCATCAAGATGAAACATCATGGATGGTGAATAAAATCAGATGAACAAATAAATAAATAAAACACAGTAAGTATTCTTCATATACTATTTAGGAAAATGACTTGACTTTACATTAAAAATTACCTGAGTGAAATCAGGTATTTGAGCAACAGGGACACATAACTATCAAGAGGTTAGCCCTTTCTATATAATTTATAAAAGCATCAAGATTTAGGCCAGGCATGGTGGCTCATGACTGTAATCCCAGCACTTTGGGAGGCTGAGGCGGGCAGATCACAAAGTCAGAGGTTCGAGACCAGCCTGGCCAACATAGTGAAGCCCCATCCCTACTAAAAATAAAAATAAAAAATTAGTCAGGTGGTGTGGCAGGCACCTGTAATTCCAGCCACTTGGGAGGCTGAGGCAAGGAGAATTGCTTGAACCTGGGAGGCGGGGGTTGCAGTAAGCCGAGATCGCGCCACTGCACTCCAGCCTGGGCAACAGTGCCAGACTCTGTCTCAAAAAAAAAAAAGCATCAAGATTTATTTACAGCCAATTTTCAGAGAAGTAGAATATATAAATCCAAATTCAGATAGATTTCCTAAAGACTAGTTATCACTGACTTAAATTTTTGTGTTTGTTTTATCTAATGGAACTTCTTTAAAGTTCAAATGATTTTACATACGTTCCTAAAACACTTCTTACTAGGCATGATGACATTTAATTTGTTTTAACAATTCTAACGAATCTGAACCCATCAATTCTTAGACAATCCAAAGAACCAGCAATTCCCAAATTAATTATAAATTACTTTTACTGTGTTTTTGCGTTGTTGATTTGGCTTGTAGAGGTGGAGGTAGAGTTTTTCTAAAAGAGCCAGTAATAAGTTGAAAATTACATAAACAAAATCTGTATTCAACATTTGAAAATAAAAAAGTACCATTTGCTAGTAATATAACGTACCATTATATCTTTATATTTGAGAACTAATCGTAAACCTTTCATGATATCTGAGGATGGAAATATAAAAGAGAAACTCTAAAAACCAGTCTTACACATTAACAATTTACCTTGGAATTTCTGATGATTTAGGGCTTTAAATCCTAAATCAATCAAAGCTTAATGAAGATGTCTGGAATTGGTCCTTGTTAAGAATTTTAGTCTTCTCACAAAAATAATTTCATGTCCATGAGATTTGAAAGAATTATGGCTGACAATAAAAGGGAAAGGCTATTAATATGCCTTAAATATTTATTTTAAAACATTTACTTTAAAAATTCCAAAAAGATTTTCTTAAGAGCGATGCTGTTTAAGAAAAACCGAATACTTCTACAATATAAGAACAAAAGAATTTTGCAAATTGTTCAGTGATATAGATGAATAGTTTCTCTATCAGCTTATTACTGAGTATACTTTATACCAAAAATGTAGTCATAATTTTAAAATCTCTTTAACTGAAATCTGCTTCACCATTTGCAAAATAAAAGAGATGAAGGAGATGGACGTTCCTTCTAAATCCTTTAAAATGCTACAATTTTAATAAATCCAAAGTTACAGAACTTCTGGAATAAAATGGTTTTAATCTTTTGCTTAATATTGCTTAGTAATAAGAAATAAAAAATTCCTGAGCCTGTATTCTAAAGCAAGAATGGGGATTTTTTTTTTTTTTTTTTTGCAAAGGACCATTATAGCAAATATTTTACACTTTGTGAGCCACAAGATCTTTGCTGCAACTCCTCAATGGTTACAGCATGAAAGCTGCCATCAGCAGCACAGCACGTAAAAAGAGGAGTGTGCATATAATACAATTAAACTTTCAAATTTCACATAATCTTCGTGTCTCAAAACATTCGCTTCCTTTTTCTTTTCAACCTTTTAAAAATGTAACCATTTTTAGCTTACAGACTGCATAAAAACAAGAATTGGGCCTCACTGGTCTGTGGGCCATTGTTTGCTCACCCAGATCTGGGACATATTTTGATAAACAGGCTCATATCAGAAAGGATAAAAATGCTGTAAAGTTATGAGTATGCAACACAGATAAAATTATTCAAAACATCACTATGCTTATAAAAATAAGCACTCCTAAAATTATCTGCCTTTTCTTTTTATAAAGATAAACTTCTGACTTCCACTTCCCTAAAGTGAGTGATTAGATAGGAGGCAGGCCAATGCACTTGCTTCAAAGACTAGACTAACCAACATAAGAAAGCTGTGGAAGCAATGAGGACTAAAAGAACGAAAAATCCAGAGGTGCAAGAGCGCTTCCGAGGCAGCTGAGACCACTGGCTTGTTCTTCCATGGGGGTAACTGCAGAGTTTGGGCATGAGTAAGGACTGAGCTTGGCTTAAGCAGAGCAACTCTTACAAAGCAAACAAGAGACAAGTGGTGCTTTAGATGTTTGCATGGACTGAAATGACAGCCTAGAATCTAGAGACAGGCAGCTTCCCCAGTGATATTTTTCCTCCAAGATGGAACACTGAAGGATGATAGAGAGGCTGAGTCAAGGCTGGGCGCAGTGGCTCAGGCCTGTAATCCCAGGACTTTGGAAAGCTGAGACAGGCAGATTATTTGAGGTCAGGAGTTTGAGACCAGCCTGGCCAACATGGTGAAACCCCATCTCTACCAAAAATGCAAAAAATCAGCTGGGTATAGTGGTGCACACCTATAATCCCAGCAACTCGGGAAGCTGAGGCAGGAGAATCACTTGAATCTGGAAGGCAGGGGTGGTGGTGAGCTGAGATTGTGCCATTGCACTCTAACCTGGGCTACAGAGCAAGACTCTGTCTCAAAACAAAACAAAACAAAACAAAACAAAACAAAACAAAACAAAACAAAACAAAAACAGAGATGCTGGGTCAAAAGGGAAGAGAAAACTTCCTATAGTCTCCAGTGGTTAGAAGAGAGAATCCTAGTGGTGGTGGTGGGCGGCGGGGGGGGCTCTATGTAATGCCTCAGTGCATGGAGATAATCAACTCCTCATTCTATCTGTCTGACACAGCAAAGGGCAAACTTCTCTGGGAGAAAACACATCAACTGAAAGAAAATCGTGTTCATTCATATACAATGTTAGTCTAGTTTAGGGACACTAAGTAAACACATTAAGAGATATCAAAAGAGGCAAAATATGTGGCAGACACATAATCAAGAGAAAACCAGAAAATCAGTCAGACTCAAAGAAAATTCAGATATTAAAGTTAGGAGGCAAATACCTAAGATGCAGAGATTAACAAAATGTATAAAATAATGCAATTGGCAATTTTCAACAAAATCTATAAAAAAAAGAACCAAGTGGACATTCTGAAACTAAAAAGTAAACATCTGAAATTAAGAACTTGCCATAGATTTTTTTTTTTTTTTTTTTTGAGACAGAGTCTTGCTCTGTTGCCCAGACTGGAATGCAGTGGTGCAATCTTGGCTTACTGCAACCTCCGCCTCCTGGGTTCAAGCGAGTCTACTGCCTCAGCCTTCCGAGTAGCTGGGACTACAAGCGCATATCACCATGCCTAGCTAATTTTTGTATTTTTAGTAGAGATGGAGTTTTACCATGTTGGCCAAGATGATCTCAATCTCTTGATCTCGTGATCTGCCAGCCTCAGCCTCCCAAAGTGCTGGGATTACAGGTGTGAGCCACCATGCCCAGCCAAGAATTTGTCATATGATTTTAAGAGCTGAGTAAGACACAGGAAAACAGGTTTCACAATCACTTCTCGGCCTTTTGGCTAAGATCAAGTGTAGAAAACAGGTTTCACAGACTTGCAGACAGGCCAAAAAACAAAAATAACAGAATTCAATCACAGAGAAACAAAACAGAGAATGAGACATGTGGGACACAGTCAAATGGTCTCATATTTATATAATTGGAATCCCAGAAACAGAGAAAAAAGAATGGAACAAAAGCAATATATGATGAGATAATTACTGACAATTTCCCAAAAGTGAAGAAAGAAAGCAACTGAGAGAGTCAAGAAACTCAGGGAATTTTAAGGAGGAAAATACAAAGAAAGGCATACCTAGGCACAGCATGGTCACACTACTAAAAGCAAAGCATAAAAGAGAAAATCTTTAAAGCAGCCAGAAAAGAGATACACTTAAAGGAACGATAAAATTGATAGTTTCCATTCTTTGTGTTGAAAAGTGCTGGAGGGTGCAGAGGGGAGGTACTGATGTGGAGGGATGGGGGTCAGAAGTCGAAGAAAGCAACCTGGAATCATATAACCATGAAAAGCATACTTTAAGAATGAAGACAAAAATAAAGATGTTTTTAGATCCATGAAAGCTAACATAATTCACTGTCAAGATACCAATATTACAGGAAATACTGAAGGAAAGTCTTCCTTTAATAACTGTAACATCATAATTTTAAACAAAATGATACATACTAAAAGGATAGATAAAGATATATCTCAAACACACTCTCCAGTCTCCCAAAAAAAAGTTGCTGTGGCTATTTTAATATTTGACAAAGTAATTTTTAAGGTAACAGTATTACAAGAAATGAGAAGACCATTTCTAAATCGTAAAAGGGTCAAATCATTAGGAAATCCTAACAATCCTGAATTGGAAGGTAACTAGAAACACAGCTTCAAAATATATAAAGCAAAATTGACTGAAGTAAAATGAGAAAATACAAATCCACAATTGAAAGAGTAGATTTTAACCTCTCTGTAACTGATAGAACAAGTAGAGACAAAAAACAGCAGTGACACAGAAGAATTTAAAAACATGATTAATCAACCTGACCTAATTGACATACATACAAAACCATATCCAACAACAGTAGAATGCATATTTTTTTCAAATGCACATAGAACATTTACCAGAATAGATAACTGTTCTGGACCACAGACCAAGTCTCAACAAATTTCCAAGGACTGAATCATAAGGTAATTCTTTGGTCATGGAAAAATTAAACCAGGAAAAAAAATAAACTAAAAAATTCCCAAATGTTTAGCAATCAAAAAAAACAAGGCTTCTAAATAACTTATGGGTCAAAGAACTAGTCACAATGAAAATTTAAAAATATTTTCCATAAAATGAAAATGCAATATGACGTAACAAAACTAGTAGAATGCCACTAAAGCAGTACTTCAACAAAATGCACAGCTTTTTGCATAAACATAAATGCATACATTGAAAAAACAAAACTCGGAAAGTAAATTATCTAGACTTACAACTCAAGATGCTAGAAAGAAAACTGCAAATTAAATGCAAAATATGTAGAAGGGTAACAAAAATAAGGGTAGATACCAATGAAATGGAAAGCGGACATTCAATAGAGATTATCAGGGAGCCAAAACTTGGTTCTCTTAAAAGATTAGTATACGTAACAAAAAGACAAAAAAAAAATGCTATCGAAGATGTGGAGAAAGTGGAACTCATACACTGTTGATGGGAACATAACTTAGTACAACCATTATGGAAAATAGAAGGGAGGTTCCTGAAAAAACTAAAAACAGAACTATGATATGATGCAGCAATTTCACTACTGGGTATATAGCCAAAGGAAAAAAATCCATATGCTGAAAAGATATCTGCACTCCCATGTTCACTGCTGCACTATTGACAATAGCCAAGATATGAAATCAACTTAAGTTTCCATGAGCAGATGAATGGATAAAGAAAATGTGACATATATACACAATGAAATACTATTTAGTGATTTAAAAAAAGAGTAAAATTCTGTCATATGCAGCCACATGGATGAGCTTAGAGGACATTATCTTTAAGTTAAATAAGCCAGGCAAAGAAAGACGAATATGGCATGTTTTTACTCACACACGGAAGCTAAAAAAGTTGATCTCATAAAAGTATAGAAGAATTAGAAAGTAGCCAGAGGTTGGCTAATAAATCAGAGCTACAAAGTAGGAGTAAGTTCTTGTGTTATATAGCACCACAGGGTGACTATCATAAACAACAATATATTATACAACTTCAAACAGCTGGAAGACAGGATTTTGAATGTTCTCAACACAAAGAAATGATAAAATGGTAAATGTTTGAGGTGACAAATATGCTAATTGTCCTGATTTGATTATTACACTTTGTAAACACGTATCAAAATATCATACTATACACCATGAATATGTACAATTATTTGTGAATTAAACATATAACAAATATTTTTAAATAAAATGAAATAAATATAATAAACCTAGAGGAAAAATTGTCAGAAAAAAGTAAAAGCACAAATTATCAATATGAGAAATAAGAAAGGTGACATCACTACAAATGATGCCCATAAATTTGACAAATAAAATGGATAAATTCCTTGAAAAAATATAACTTATCAACATTGAATAAGGGAAAAAATGTAATATATGAATAGTCTGCTATATATTTAAAAAAAAAAAAAGGAGATCCCTAATCAAAACCTATCCACAAAGAAAATTCTAGGTTCAGATGGCTTTGCTGGTGAATACTTCCAAATACTTTAAAAATTCACTGGTAGGTTCTTTCCAATATTATCAATCTCAGACTAACTGTTTCAGATAATACAAAAAGCAGAAACATTTCCCAACTCATTTTATAAGACAGGCATAACTCTGATATCAAAATTTGAAAAAAAATTTCAAAATACAAAAATTTCAGACCAGTATTGCCTATGAACACGGAAGCAAAATACTACACAGCCAAAAAGTAGAAACAACCCAAACGCTCACCAACTAATGAATATATAAAGTGTGTTACTTCCAAATAAGAGAACATTGTTTACCCATGAAAAAAGAATGAAGTACACTCATGCTACAACATGGACGAACCTTGAAAACATGCTAAGTGAAAGAAACAATGGCAACAGAAGGTAACAAATTGTATAATTCCATTTAGTTGTAATGTCTAGTTAGGCAAATTCACAAAAACAGGAAGTAGTAGTTGCCAGAAACTGACAGAAAGGAGAAAAGAAAGTGATTGCTAATACCTCTGGGATTAATGGAGTGACAAAAATGTTCTAGTTGTATAATACTGAAAACTATTAAGTTGTATACTTTAAAAGGGTGAATTTGTGGTATGTGAATTGCCTCTTTTATTAAAAACAAAAAAGCAATTTACCTAAAAATAGTTTCTATGTCTAACAACATATAGAAAGGATAAATATACAATCAACATAATTCAATAACAGAACAAAACATATGATCCGCTTCAATAGAAACAGAGAAAACATTTTTAAAACTCAACAACCATTAGTGATAAAACTCCTTGGTGAAGGAGGAACAGATTTTACTTAATCTAATGAAGATTATATACCAAGAAAAACCCTACTTTAAACAGTGTAGGCAAATATACTGAATGTTGAAAAATTAAATATTTCCACTAAGTATGGGGAGAAAGTGCAAGGATTTATACTATCACTACTTCTATTAACACTATATTTGAGGTTAGTAAGTGATGCAAATGAAATAAAAGTCACAATGGTTAAAAATTAAAAGTAAAGTATTTTTTATTTGTACATAATTACATTTATAGAAAATACAAAATAATCCACAAATAAAGAATTAACAAGTGAATTATCAAGGTCACTGGACACAAGACCAATTTTTTAAAATCAATCTATGAAGCATCTTATGTAAACTGAAGCTTTTCTATAGAAGCCCGACTTATTCTCCTGTGTAATTAATGTAATGATACTCCCATCGTGTTCAAGCATCAATGAATGAATTAGGGAGGAATAGTTATCTCATTACTAAGTAGAAACCTTTTATTTACTTAACCTAGACTGTTAATTCGTAATAAGAAAGAGATTTTAACAATTCGACTTGATTTAGGGGAGAAATGCAAATAAATTTCTCATAAGTAGCTTCAGTTTCTTTATCTTATTTGGAAGTCTTCACATAGTGGGAGGGCTATAAATAAAGCTACCTTGGCAATGGGCAGAGCAGCTTAAGGAAAAAAAAAAAAAAAGAGGGTAGGGCAATTTGGAGGGTAACATGAGTGAGGGGAGAATGACAATCTATTCATCCCAGGCCTCAGAGAACCACAAGAGATAGGAGAGTGAGCAAATAACCAGGCACACAGAGATACAAGGCACCCTGAGTGAGAAAAGAAGAACTAGGCAACAGAAAGACACCCAAAGAGACTTCAGATGGTGGGATCCTTAGAAAGATTGTAACAAGAATATGTTTATCAAATTTAAAGAAAAGACTCTCTCTAAAATGGCTGCAGGAAATAGGGAAGAGCATATTTGAAAAAAAATCAAACTAGACTAAGAGTACAGAATTTAGAGCCAAATGACTTGGGTCCAAATGCAGGCTCTGTCATTTACTAGCACTGTGATCTTGGCAAAGTTACTTTAACCTCTCTGTGCCTCAGTTCTCTTATTTATACAACAGGGTAAAAACAGTACCTCTCCCATTGGATGATGACATACTTAGAATTATGTCTGGTATTTAGTAAATACTAAACACATTTTTATTATTATTCCCAATTCAAATGTCTACATTGGTTTGGGTTTCCCCAGAAGTAGACTTCAATTCAAGACTTGAAGTGCAGCAGTTATTTTGAGAGGTGATCCCAGGAAAAACATAAGTAGGGAAAATCAAAAAGTGAAACAGGGAAGAGAAGGAAGTCAAGAAAGGACATATTATGAAGCCAGTTGCCCTGATGGGCAACTAGAGCTTGATCCAGTGGAGAACTCTGGTAGACAGCAGAAAACGTGGCTCAGTTATCCTAAAGGCAGGTGAGACAAAAGTATTTAACTACCAACTCCCCATCCACCACTGGTGGAAAGTTTTTCTGAAGGCATTAACTGTCTGGTGTGTGTGGGTTGCCCTACACACAGGTCAAGCA